TCTACGGTCATGAGAATTCACCTGTGTGTTGCTATGATCCTCCTGAAGTGAGTTAAGTGGAATGTTTTATATGATGAAGTGTCAATCTAACAGTGGTTCCGAAGCTATGATGAAAAACGAGTTCTATCGTATATTGGCATGTTAAGTGCAGTGAGTGGTATGGAATTTGAAGTGAAGATCAAGGTAGCAGTTCGGTGTTGACAAGGATGTCACGAGCTCGGATGAGCAGGAAAGGAGTTTCGATGTTTAAGGTAAGTTGGTTTTGTCACCAGCGTCACCTGAGATCGGTGTTTTGTAAAAAGGGCTTTGTATCCTGGTTAATGATTCTTGATCGCTTTTCAGCGTTAGTGCGGCCGGTGGTTTGGAGGTACGACCCAATTAATTGTTATGGTAAGTTGTGGGAGTGTGTCCCACAGGAAGATTGTATAAGTGTGGCAGGTAGTCAAATGATTGATTAAAGACTTAAACCAAGTATGAAGGTTGTGATAATATCGTTGATTTGAGAATATATGCCTGGAGGGCACTCAGTCTATTGAGTCGTGGACTGCGGATGATTTTTCCGAGTATGATGGATGCTCTTATGTGTTACGAGCGGAAGAGGAGTTATTATGGACCTTTGAAAGGTAATTAGCCTAGTTCAGTGCGATCAGAATTGGCTTGAGGTCGGTGGATGGATTCAAATGTGTATATGGGCTCCATATCAGGCCAAACGTGTTCAATTCAGTAATGCGCTCCTTATGGAGGAGTAGTCAGGGTGTTATTTTGTTGTCAGATATTTCATGTAGTGATACGTTACGCCGTGTGAGTTGGGAGGCGGCTTGAGAAATCGCTTATGTGTTGAGGATCCGCGTAGAGATGATGTTATATGAGCAAGATGGCTTTTGAGATTTCAAATCGTATATCGCACCTCAGTTGTGCTTGAGTTTTGTGGCTTTTGGCGCTATATGTCTCCCCAGGGATGGAATTATGCACTTAGTGTGCTTGTGACCGATATTCGGTATATTATTGAAATGAGAAATCTAGCTCGGTGCGTATCTCCTTATGCGAGTTTTATGGGTGGATCGGGTGGCACGCCGCCATGGTTATGTTGTTCGGATCGGGTTGCGGGCCGCAGCAGTGTGAAGCTGAGTACAGTTCCCCGTATCTATTTTTATGTGTTTTGTTTCCTATTTTATGAGGAAAGCTTATATTAGCTGTGTGCCCGCGTCGCATGTATGATTCGCGAGCGGGGTGTTTGTTTAATTAAGTCGACCGCGTCGCATGTATGATTTGCGAGCGGTGTAGTTGAATTTCCTTCTCAAGGTTTTCTTTCCTTTATATCACGTTCGATATGGTAGCATATTGGCACATTGTAGCATCATATGGGACTTTTGGTCATGTCGGGGTGGCTTATTGCCTGAGCAGTTCGTACTGGGTGAGACGAGAACATTGAATTCGAGATCAGTGCAGTCTGAGTATATGAAGTATATCAAGGAGCTAAAACCATTGTTTGGTTCAGAATGAGGTGATAGTTCTTGCCAGGAGTATAGACCCAATGAATTGTTGTTTCGGCAGTGGTTATGAATTTATACAGATCTCATCCGTCGTGTCGGTATTATAAGAGTTCGAACAAGACCTATGTATGTCATGCGGTGCAATGGGAGCATCAAATTCGTGGAATTTCGATTAAATTGATCAGAGAATGTTATTGTGGTCCTATGAGTAAAATGGTGCACAGTGTGAATTCAGCTAAGGTATGCAGTCACGTCTTGGTACTGCGTGTAGTGATTGATATGATGAGCGTATGTTGGAAACAGGCCTAGCATAGAATTCGAGATGTTGGAATTGGGCTCTAAGGCTTATTTGCTTGAATAAAAAGAAATATCTTCAGAATTGATCGAGCTAATGTGCTCAACTGAGTTGTGGTAGCACGGGAAGGTGCATGAGGTGTTAAACAATGATTTCAGACTACTTCAGTATAGTTCTCAGCATGTTCGAGGACGAACGTATGTTTAAGTGGGAGAGAATGTAACGACCCGACCGGTCGTTTTTGAGCTCTAGCGCGGCGTTCAGCAGTCTGAGGCCATGAGCAGCTTCATTTCAGGTATTATGACTTGTACGCGTGGTCGGAATTGAATTGCGGAAAGTTCAGAGTTGATTTGGAGAGAGAATTCTCATTTCGGAAGCTTAAAGTTGAAAAAATTAACTAGGATTGGATTTTTGAGTAAACAACCTCGGAATCGGGATCTGAAGGCTCCAGCAGGTTCGAATGATGATTTCAGACTTGGGCGTATGCCCGGATCGGGTTGTGGAAGACCCGGGAGCATTTTGGCGCCCATTGTGGAAGTTAGCATTTTGGAAGAAATTTCATAATTTTGGCTTGAAGTGCATTTCAGTGTTATCGATGTCCCTTTGGGATTCTGAGTCTGGGAGAAGCTCCGTATGGTGATTCTGGAGTTGGGAGCGCAATCGGAAGTGAATTCGGAGGTCCGTAGGTCATTTTGGAGCGATTTGGCTAAAGATAGAAAATTGAAGGTTTTTGAAGAAGTTTGACCAGAAGTGGACTTTTTGATATCGGGGTCGGATTCCGATTCCGGAAGTTGGAGTAGCTCCGTAATGTCAAATATGACTTGTGTGCAAAATTTGAAGTCAATCGGACGTGATTTGATACGTTTCGGCATCGAAAGTAAAAGTTTGAAGTTCTAAAGTTCATAAAGCTTGAATTGGAGGTTGATTCATGATTTTAGCGTTGTTTGGTATGATTTGAGGCCCCGAGCAGGTCCGTGTTATGTTATGGAGTGGGTTGGTGTGATTGGACGGGGTCCCGGGGGCCTCGGGTGTGTTTCGGGTTGTATCGCGCTCTTATTTGATGTTTCAATGTCGTTTCTTTGGACATAAAGGGGTACTATATTAAGCAAATGAGCTCCAAATTAAGTTTTTATTGAACCATTAGATCCGTATCGTAATTATGAAGCCATAGCAAAAATAATCGTCGAATTTGGACATCGTATGAGGGAGTTATGCTCATTTCCGTGTCGGGAAAAAGTGCTGGTTGCTGTCATAACCGCAGATGCGGTCATTTTTCGGCAGATGCGGGACTGCAGATGCGGTCATTTTTCCGCAGATTCGGAAACTGCTGGAGGCAGTGGGGTTCTTTTAAAAATCAAAGTTTGGCTCATTTTCACTTCATTTCTTCCATGGGAGCCGATTTTGGAGCAACTTTGGAGTGCCATTTTCATCACCAAGCATGAGGTAAGTGATCTCTACTAGTTTTGAGTATATACAAGGTTTATATATGGATTTAGACATTGAAATTTGTAGAAAACTTGGGGTTTGAGGGAAAACCTAGAAAACTAGTATTCTTGGATTTTGACCACGATTTTGGGTATGGAATTTAGAGAAAATCATATATTTGAGTTCGTGAGGCTATGGGTAAACTTTATCTTCGAAAAATTTCGGATTCCGAGCACGTGGGCCCGAGGGCGTTTTTGTCAACTTTTGGATCGGGTTTAGGAATTGTTATAAATTGGATTATAATGAGTACCTTAGCATATATTAATTGGTTTACATAATTATTGGCTAGTTTTGGAGCGTTGTGCATCGATTCGAGTCTTCGGAAGGGCGTGGAATGCCGGTTATAGATCTTCGGAGCGAGGTGAGTCTCCTTTCTAACCTTGTAAGAGGGAATTGTCCCCATAGGTGAATTAATTGGTTATGTGCTCCTATTTGTGGGGGCTACGTACGCACGAGGTGACGAGAGTCCGTGCGTAGCTACTATTATGCTATTCTCCAGGTAGTGTAGGACCCAAAAGCATGCTATACTTGGATGAATTGTAAACTTATTGACAGCTCGAATTGCTTAAACCACATCGAATTAATAAATAATTTCAAAAAGGATTAAACTTCTTTTCTTACATTGTTAAAAGAGAAAGTGGCTTTTATTTGAATAAATATTCCCCTTTAAATTCTTAATTGGCTATCTGAGCATGTATTTCTATGTGTACCTGCGTCGCACGTATGATTCGCGAGCAGGGGGATTGTTTATTTCATGTTGACCGCATCACATGGATAGTTCGCGAGCGGGGCAATAGATGCATCTATGGTTCACGCCGTTTGACCCTCGGCAGTGCACAGTTTATTTTCTGTTGGAGCGGGCCGTACGCCTCGGCATGATTTGCGCATGCTTGTATTGCTGCCTTGAACTTATTGAAGTTGTTATTGCCCCTTCATGGCTTGAGAATATTTGGATAAATAATGAAAAGGAATTTTGGGAAACTTCCTATAAAAGAAATAATTGTATACTTGTTTCCTCCTATTGGATTAAAAATCATGTTTATAAGAGTCCATGATTTAATGAATTATTGACATCATTATTGGACCACTAGTAAGTGTCGAAGTCGACCATCTCGTCTCTACTTCTTCGAGATTAGATGGGATACTCATTGAGTACACGTTGTTTTTGTACTCATACTACACTTCTATGCATTTTTGTTGCACAGGTATATGTAAATCTAGTGGCCTACTGGGCGTAGCAGCACGGATGATTTGGGAACTAGGTGAGTTGCATTATTCGAGGCGGCCTGCAGCTAGTATAGTCCCTTCCAGTATATTGTATTTACTTTCTGTCCACTGTATTCCGGACGGATGTTGTATTATATTATTTCTTAGAAATTGCTCATGCACTTATGACACCGGGTTCTGGGATGGTTTTGAAATATTTTGTATTATTGCTTATTATTTAATTTGAATTGAAGCAGTTGTCTCTTTACTTATGAAATTAGAAGGAAAATCTGGGTTTTCAAAATTGTCTAAATTGGAATCTAATTAAGTATTTTAGTTGGCTTGCCTGATAGCAGTGTCCGGTGCCATCACGACCCTTAGTGGATTTTGGGTCGTGACATCGTCAGTGGTATGCCAAGTTATCCACTGCACTTTGCTCTAGAGGTTATGTTTCTTCACTAAACGATTACTCTCTCTTCATCAAGAAATCTGTCAATTCCACTGTTTTCCTTGCTGTTTATATGGATGATATTATTCTTACGGGTGATGACCTTACTGAAATTTCTGCCCTTAAGGAGTTCTTTAACGACCAATTTAAAATCAACGATTTGGGTTTACTCAACTATTTTCTTGGAATTGAAGTTTTCTATGATAATTCTGGGGTTATTCTTCATCAACGAAAGTTTATTGCTGATTTACTTCGTGAATTTGGTTGTGATTCTGCTTCTGCTGTGGTTTCTCCTCTCGAATTGGGTGTCAAGCTGAAATTTGATGATGGGGAGTTATTGCCTAGGCCTGACACTTATAGAAGTTTAGTTGGTAAACTTAACTTTCTCACCCATACTAGACCTGATTTGTGTTATGCTGTACAACACTTAAGTCAGTTTCTCAAGTGTCCTAGGGTGCCTCATATGAATGCTGCTCTTCACATTTTGAGATATTTGAAAGGCACTCTTGATTTTGGGGTCTCTCTTAGTACCCCTTCTAATTTTTCTTTACTTGCCTATTGTGATAGTGATTGGGCTGCGTGTTCTGAGTCTCGTAGGACTGTTTCTGGTTTTTGCATAACTCTGGGTAGTAGTTTAATAAGTTGGAAATCTAAGAAACAGACTGTTGTTTCATTATCCTCTGCTGAGGCTGAGTATCGGGCTATGAGTAAGGTTGTGGCTGAATTGGTTTGGTTGGTTCATTTGCTCACTGATTTGGGAATTCCTTCTGTGTCTCCTGTTCCTGTATATTGTGATAATCTGGATGCCTTGCATATTGCGGAAAATCCCGTGTTTCACGAACGTACTAAGCACATTGAAGTGGACTCCCATTTCATAAGGACAAAGTTAGCTGACGGCCTAATTTCTTTACATCATATCTGCACTACTTCTCAACTGGCTGATATTTTTACCAAGTGTTTGACAGGTGGACAACATCATTTGTTGCTTGGCAAGTTGGGTGTGAGCGCACCCTCCAACTTGAGAGGGGGTGTTGGGGTTACATAATTATACAACATTGGGCTCAACAATACAACATTGGGCCATAGAGCTATAGACAGGTTTGGGCCAAAGTCAGCCCAATAATTGTATTTATATTGATCCGGATAGGTTGATAGAATTAGACTGTTTTGCCCCTGTATATATATATGTGTATACTCTAGAACTTTGGGAATTTAGAAGAATGAAAGTCTAATTTCTCTCTTTCTCCGTCTTCTCTCTTCAAAGTGTAACCCTAGCTTCATCTCGTCAATTTCGTCCAATTACAATGTTTACATACTCATATACCACCACGAGCAACAACAACAACCCAGTAGTAATCCCACTAGTGGGGTTTGGGGAGGGTAGAGTGTACGCAGACAGTACCCCTACCCCGGAGGGTAGAGAGGCTGTTTCTGGGAGACCCTCGGCTCAAATATTTTTTCACCACGACGAGCATTGAATGAAATGAGTACTATTTTTTCTAGTGGTTTTCTTCAGCTTTGACTTGGTCCAAGGATCATATCTTAGGCTAGCTTGGGTAGTTATCAATTGTTAATTACAGTGGTAGATCCGAGATTTAGACGTTATGAGTTTTCAGTTGACTGAGTGAGTTTTAAAATATACATTTGACTACTTGGTTTCTGCACATATATATGGGGGTCGACTCCCAAAATAATGAGTTTTAAATTTTGGACCATTTATGGTGTGGTCACCCACCCTACCACTTCATAAGATTGAGAAAGTAGAATAAAATGATCATATACTATGTTTTTGGTTTGTTGCTATGTGAAGGCATGGAGCAGCGGAAGATTTAACAATGTTAAGCATAGACTAATATGCAAAACAAGGGTGTCAATTGTTTCATTCATTCGGGGACAACTGTGGAACCCACACCTGAACTTGTGGATGATGAAAATCCTCGTCTCTACGTACCCTTCACTCAAGATGATCTTGCAAAGCTCAGGCAGTCAACAAGAAATTTCAATGGTGAAGCTCTTGATCACTTTCGTACCAACTTTTAGATATCACTGTTGGTATTATTGTGTTCAAAATTAGAAAATCAGAGAAACAGACAAACTTTAGTTCAATAAACAAATCGTAAAATAATTCCTAGCCCACTGAATGCACAGTGTGTCCTTAAGGAATCTAATCCCCTCACTGTTGCCCAAGGTTATGGATTAATTCCTCACAGGATAGAAAGGAATAACTATTATGTGATAGCGGCACTACACATCACAAAACTTCAGTGAACTCAACAAACGGAGCAAATCACACTTGACACTTATATTTATTTGGAAAATAATGCAACAATATAGAAAAGAGGGGAGAAGTTTTTTGATTTTCCATGTCTTAAAAATGAGGCCAAGCCTCTAAATTTATAGACAAAGGAAGGGTGATATGGAGAGGTGCAATCCAAAAGGTGCCTCTTCCATTTCCCATTCACACCCTTTAAAGAAAAACGCAACGATCCCCCACATGAATGGGGAACGGACATATGTATAAAAACATGCATGAAAATATTGTGTGATTCACAAGTAAGGATTAATCGCATCTGGATAAGTAGGTTTCCCTTTGAACTTTCCGTAGTGAACTTATGTCGGATATACTCGGTCAATCGGTAAAATTGATATGTTTGAACCGTCGAGCTTTGGTGTATACCTAGACAACTATAAGTCATACAATCAACCCTTAACCGTCTTTGGTTCTCACGGTTGTGTTCGTTTCAGCCATGAACACCGCCTGGTTTCATGAGTGCTTAGAGAATGAGCCTTTACTTTCATTCCCCTTAAAGCGACTTACACTTCACACTCACTGTAACGACCCGACCGGTCGTTTTGAGTCCTAGCGCTCCGTTCAGCAGCCGGAGGCCATGAACAGCTTCATTTCGAGTATTATGACTTGTACGCGTGGTCGGAATTAAGTTCCGGGAAGTTCTGAGTTGATTTAGAAAGAGAATTGTCATTTGGGAAACTTGCAGTTGAAAGAATGAACTAGGATTGGATTTGTGAGTAAACGACCTCGGAATCAGGATCCGAAGGTTCCAGCAGGTTCGTATGATGATTTCAGACTTGGGCGTATGCCCGGTTCGGGTTTTGGATAACCCGGGAGCGTTTTGGCACCTATTGTGGAAGTTAGCATTTTAGAAGAAATTTCATAAGTTTGGTTTGAAGTGCATTTTAATGTTATCAATGTCTGTTTGGGATTCCGAGACTGCGTATAGCTTCGTATGGTGATTCTGGAGTTGGAAGCGCGATCGGAAGTGAATTCGGAGGTCCGTAGGTCATTTTGGAGCCATTTGGCTAAAGATAGAAATTTGAAGGCTTTTGAGATGTTTGACCGGAGGTTGACTTTTTGATATCGGGGTCGGAATCCGATTCCGAAAGTTGCAGTAGTTCCGTAATGTCAAATATGACTTGCGTGCAAAATTTGAGGTCAATCGGACGTGATTTGACAGGTTTAAGCATCGAAAGTAGAAGTTGGAAGTTCTAAAGTTCATAAAGCTTGGATTGGCGGTTGATTCATGATTTTAGCGTTGTTTGATGTGATTTGAGGCCTCGAGCAAGTCCGTAATGTGTTTTGGGATTGGTTGGTATGATTGGTCGGGGTCCTGGGGGCCTCGGGTGGATTCCGGGTGGTTAACGGATCAAAAATGGAATTTGGGAAGGCTCGGGATTTGCTGCTTCTGTCATAACCGCATCTGCGGTTCTTGGACCGCAGAAGCGGGACCGCAGATGCGGTCAAAAGCTCGCAGAAGCGGAAGGGGGCCAGGTCCAAGGAAACCGCAGAAGCGGCCCAGGGACCGCAGAAGCGGTTCCGCTTAAGCGGCCCCCAGACCGCAAAAGCGGTCAGCTCCTTTGCCCAAAGCCGCAGAAGCGGCGAGAAGTCGCAGAAGCGACATCCGCAGAAGCGGAAGCAGCTGGGGCAGTGAGATGTTTTAAGTTCGGGGTTGAGTTCATTTCAACCCCATTTTTCTTCCATTGGAGTCGATGGGGAGCAGCTTGGAGATGCCATTTTCGTCACTTGTCATGAGGTAAGTAATTTATGCTAGCTTTGAGTTAAATACAAGGTTTATACATGGATTTAGGCAAGGAAATTATGGAAATTTGGGGTTTTGGTGGAAAACCTAGGAATTTACATTTCTTCGAATTTGACCACGATTTTGAGTATGGAATTAGGAGAAAATCACATATTTGAGTTCCTAAGGTCATGGGTAACCTTTTCTTCGAGAAATTTCGGAATCCGGGCACGTAGGCTCGAGGGTATTTGGTCATTTCACTAAGCGGAGTTGGGAATCTGTATAATTTGAATTCCTAACAAGTATTTGAGCATGTTCTCATTAGTTTGCCGTTAATTGGCTAGCTTTGGTGCATTGTGCGTCGGTTCAAGCCTTCGGAAGAATGTAGAACGCCGGTTATGAGTCTTCGGAGCGAGGTGAGTCTCCTTTCTAATCTTGTGAGGGGGAA